CTCCCCCGGTTGCTGCTGGGGGCCGGCGGCTCGGCTCGGCTCGGCCCGGCAGGTAAGAGCAGCCCGGCACGGGGAACCGGGGGGGACCGGGGACCGGTCCACGGGAGTCCCGGTGGGCTCCGGGTCCCGCCCGCAGCGGGGGACGGAGTGGCACGGACGGACGGACGGACGGACGGACCGACCGACCGACCGACCGACCTGGGCACGCAGGGTGAGGCGGCGGCGCCCGGCAGAAATCCACGCGTGGAATTCCAAGAGCGTCTCGCTAGTGCGCGGTCTAAGTGGGGGAAACGCACAAAGCAAAATACGCTTACGTGGGGCCGTAAAGGGGGACGGTTTCTCTCTGCGACAGTTAAGGCAGGATTTATTAGACTTAAAATAGCAACAGAAAATGAAGGCGGACAAAGGGCAACCCACGTATTTAGCACAGCAAGATGAACATCTCTGCAAAATAAGCTATTACCCCATTGCCGTGAGACCACTACTTAGCTTTATAAGTCAGTAACTGACAAAGGCAAGCCAGGCTCCTCTGAATGCAAGATAAATTTAATTATAGTGTTTTATAACCCACCCGAGCGATTCCCAGATTACGGTCTGTAAGTCTGCAGTGCACGATCCACAGCTGGTGCATGAAACCGTTTTAAAAATAAGCACTTCTCGGCTTTTGCGCGGCCGCGCTGACGGCACGCAAAGATACGTGTGTATCCCAAGAAAAAGCTGTGTTTTCCAGGGGCTGTGGTCCTGGTGTGGACTCGGCAGAGGCAGAGCCCGGGGTAGGAAGGGACGGTAGCTCTACCAGCTGCTTTTGGACTCTGCTGTCAATATCCAGGTATTTATCTTCTGTGCCCTGAGCTCAGGGTCCTGCTGTAGCACACAGCCACGTCAGGCTGCCCTGTTTATGAACTGATCCGGTACCGTCCCCGAGCCGTTTATATCGGCTTTGTCCCCACTGCAAAAACCTGAAGTCTGTCCCAGGCTCCAAACTGTCCCCATTTTCAGACAAAGTTTATTCGCAGGCAGGTCATTGTACTTGTTCCCAGGCCAACACTGCTTAGAGTTATAAATAGTTATATAGAGAGTTATAAATAATAACTATTTATATACATAAATAGTTATTATATATAATAGTTGCTGATTGCTTGCACCTTCTCCGTGTATATGTACGCACATGGATACATGTCTACACAGTGTCATACATATATACATGTATGCGTGTATATAATTACAGAGTAGAGTCACGTTCCTTCCTAGGCAAAAGAAGTCACACTCTTGCCAACACCTCTGGTATGACCCGACTTGTTTTTGGTTTCCTGTATCATCTTTGGCTTTTCCTGTACTTGCTGCCTTTTTAAACATGGAATACCAAAACTGCAGATAATACTGCACAGTTTGCTCTTTATTTCTAAAGTTTTTGCAGCTGTTAAAACCCAGCTGATTTCTGAAGCTTTGAACAAAATGCAAGTAATGGTCAGGTGCACCAAAACTGCCGGGGGGGGGTTTCCATGAACCAGGGAGAAATGGGGAAAAAAATATAATGGAAGAAACGTCTCAAAGATCAGTTCCACTAGTCTTCAAATTTCAAGCACTGGTGTATTTTGAGGCTTGTTTTGAAAGTTTATAGCTTCATGAGTACCATGCCAGGATAGAGGCCTGTAACAGTTTATTTAAATCACAATCTGTAAGTGGGGATCTTAGGTATATGAATCTGTTGCTTATTTTGCAGTCGAGGTATAGCAGGCAAGTCTTACCTGTATCTCTATTTTTCTCTTTTTTCATCATTGAAAAAGAAGAAGAATACCATTATCGGTGTTTTTATTAGATGGTTCTGGTGAAATGGTACTTAGATGCATGCTTTGTGTATGTATGAAATCTAAATAGTTTTGATAACTGGAAAAAATCAACTCACTATGAATAGGAACTTGCCACCCTAAATTTAATGTTTGTGAAAAACTGCAAAAGTCGATACTTTAAATGTCTGATAAAATAGGTTTAAAATTAAGGTACTGTTTTCACTTTGAAGCATGGCTGAATCAGTAGAACTTCAGCTTAAAAGACAGTGAAGACTTGTTTTTGTTTTTTTTTTAAGGTTACTGAAATAATATCGGTGCTTAATCCATATAAGACCAAGTAACTAGCTGGATTACTTCCACAAAATGACATTTGGAAAACTCAGAAAAATACACAATCTGGGGTCAGTGCTGTAAGAAGCAAGTTGCACGCTAGCTATGGAAGAGTTTTCAACCCTGTGACAAACCATATTTTCAAGTATAGTACGGGTTACTTCGTTGAGTTTTAATGCCAAGGTGAAGATTTTGCATGGCAGTTTACTCTGTATGGTCAAGGCTTTGAAATTCCAAAACCTTACAAAACACAGAAGAGTCAGACTGCAGATGTTGGGATGGCTGCTGACGGATGTTGCACAAATCGCCACTTCATTCACTGTGTGATTAGGGTGGTTCTGAATTAATGTGGCTTAAATGAAACACTTTCCAAAGAAGAGTATCACAACCAGGAAGAAAGTCCTAGTGTTAGATACTTCATGAAGAAAATGTGGACTGAAAATCTTAAAAGTGTGACATGCCTGTTTATTTGACAGCAAATTCTCCCTCTTAACCATTGGCTCATCTCTGTATACACAAAAAAGCTGTGTAAGAGTAGATACTCTGTGAGGAGAAATGAACTAGGAAATATTGGATTCTCTAAAGGAGTTCAGGCTCAAATTTTAAAATACTGAAGATAACTCTTAATAAATTTGTTCCTTTGTCGGATTTTCTCTCTGGGTTAAAGCCCTCTGTTATTGTAGAATTACTGTTGATTGCTCATTCTGTATAGCAACACCATGCATCTTTTTCAAAGAGTAGTTTTAAGGACTAGGGTTTACTGAACTGGAGTCACGTCTTTCTAATATAACTAGAAGAGTCTGACTGATGGGGGTAACTTGTTTTTTCCTCTTCCCTGCTTCCTCAGAATGACTGCCTTTTGTGTGATGAAACTTTTATGTCAAGCAACCAGAAATGAGAATAGATATGCAAAAAGATTCTTTGGTGCTCTTCTGACACAAACACCACAAAAGAGGGTCTTTTCTCCATTCTGGATGGTGGCACCTGACCCTGACCCTAGAAAGTCAACTGTGTTTGGACTTACTCAACCATTTTGTACAGCCGAAAAATCTCACACAGAACCAAAAAGGAAAGCAGCATTTGGAAGTGTTGGGCGAAGAATTCCCTATCGGATTTTGCACGTAATCAACCAGGATGGAGAGAGCTTAGGAAATATGCACCGAGCAGAGGCACTCAAACTTATGGATCAACATGACCTGAAACTAGTTCTCCTTCGTGAGAATGCAGAACCTCCTGTATATAGACTAATGACTGGGCAGCAGATTCACGAAGAACAGCTTAAACGTGCGGAGAAGAAAAAAGCAAGTCCAAAACCAGGTATGTACATTATTGACACTGCAACACTGAGCACTTTGAAAAATGCTGCATTAAAAGTGGTGTCAGCAGATGAAATCCTCTTACTTGCATCTGTGTAAATCCAAAGCAATGTTACTGCAGTCCACGCTATTAAGGCTTTGCAGTGGTGAAAATAAAATTTTGGATTAGTCTTCCACAGAGACGCCTTCTATTGCCTTCTCAGGATTTACTATTTTGGCATCTGCTGGCTTTTTTAAAAAATCTATTTTTATTTAAGTCAATATAACTAGAATGGTTCCACGAGACTCACTGAATTCCTGTTCTTTTACTAAGGCATAAGGTGACAGGCAGTTTTTACAAACTGAGCACCAGATACACCAATATAATTACATAATTTTGTCACCGGTAGTCATGAAACATTCTCTTCCTAGCTTGCTGCTAGGAAGACAAAGTCTGGAGCCTTTTCTTGTACAGAGTAAGAGAACAAATTGTTCAATACTGAACACTTTTCAGTGTTTTTTAAGTCAGCCTGCTCCAGCAGTTTAACAAACTGAGTTTGGCAAAGAGGTTTTAGAAAAGGTGTCTGACCTTGTATCCTCTTTTCTTATCCTCAGGCTAACGAAGGTATCTGTGCTTGGGGTAGAGGTCTGATTTTAGAGGAGAGCACTATTGTAGTAGTGAGTTTTTCTGTTCAAGAAACTACAAAAAGATTATTCAAATGGTAACTTCTTTAGAGAATCTTTAAGGAGGAAGAGACCACAAGTTGTTCACATACATTACAAGGCATCATACTTCCAGTTGAATATTGCACTTCACTATTGAAGAAAATGGGCTCGAGTTGAAGAGCTATCCAACTTCAAAGCTTTTACTTCAGCTATACTATGTGCAGGATGTAGGAATTTGCGCAGCAAGTCTTTAATTCCACATCCAGTGCTTACCTGTTTATCTTTGTTAGACCTGCATTGTGGGTAGTATGAACAAAACTAATTAAAATAAAAATACTTGAAGCCTTCTGACCCTGAAGAGACTTCCCTGTGTGGGTCAAATATGCACTCAGTCTCCCAATTATGGCAGTGAGTGTGAGATACCAAATAGCCACCTTCTAAGGTGAGAGTGGTGCATGCTGAGACAATGAGACTGAGATGCTCTGTGTATGAGAAAGCAGCATGGGGGAAGGGAGCTGAGCAGACAAAGCACCATAAGCTGTTGAAAGACAGCAAGTAACACAGGTTTGTCAGATGTTAAGCCAACACAGTTTTAGTTCTGTTTTAAACAGGGGTGGTTCAGAAGGAGTTATCCTTTTCTTCAGCTATTGCCAAGAACGACTTAGAGACCAAGACTAAGCAGATAGCACAGTGGATTGAAAAGAAATACCATGTTAAGGTTACCATCCGGCAAGCAAAAGATAGCAATACAGACATGGTAAGTGGACTCCTGAAAGATGGACCAATCAATTTCATTAAATAGCTGTACTTGTATTAACTTTCCCTTATTCAGTACTGCCATGTTTTTTTCAATATATCATGTACTGCTAAAATAAGTGAAGGTCTAGGTCTAGGTCCCGTGAAAGTAACAGTTGCCCCACCTTAAGCTGCATCTCTTCAAACACTGCAGTTCTAGAAAAGTAGTCCCACAGAGACAATTCAAATACCATGCTTTCCTAAGAATGCAGTTATAATACTGGCTTTGACAGCAGGCTCTAAGCAGTTCCTACTCCTTTGCACCTTATTAACTGGGCTGGTGAAATTTTCCTGTCTGTGCCTTAAGCCAGCTCACTCACTGAAAAGTTTAACAGTAAATTAAAAAAATTAAAAATCTGCTTATTTCAGCTGGATTATTTCAATAACCTAACTGTTCTTCTGAAGATGCGTTTTTGCAACAGTGCTAAGGTTAATTGTCCACTGTTGTTGTGAAAAACTACTGGAATGGTGTTCCAAGACTGGCAAAGTAAACATCTATAAAAATGTTAGGGAGCTGGTGGCAACTCACTAGTATAATTGCAGGGCCTTGAGACTTGTCTTCGTTGTCATTTGCACAAATGGCTTTTTTATAAAGATTCCATATAAGATTTTTTTTTTCTCCTTTTAATGTGTATAGTGAATTAGGTTTCCTTCATGATTCTGTCTACTAAATTGCTGGAGAAAATTGTGATATCACTTCATCCAAAAGGAACAAAACTTTTTATAGGAAGTTGAATTCACAGCAAAAGGGCAGCAGGAGGAAGAACTGGATAGGGGCGGGAGCAGAACATTTCATGACACAGTCCAGATTTAGGTTGTCCTTAAATTTAAAAGCTTAATTATGAGCTTAAGAGTTCAGCTTGTTATATGAACACCACTGTATCATTCAGTTCAATACCACCACGTTCTGCTAACCTTAGAACAACACTGCCTCTTAAGAGGAAAGCCCCATTAATATGCCTGAATCTAGTGGAAGAGGAGGGTGGAGAGGAGTCAGATGCAGTCCACTTTCACAGACACCTTTAAACAGCAAAACGGGATGAATCAGGAATTCAGCCTAAGTGTTAGGAAATGGCTTAATCCCTCTGGTGACTTTCCTAAACCTGCTTGTGAGTAAAGAACAAATGGTTAGGAAAGAAGCAGCTGAAGCGCTCAAACCAGGACTAGCAACTAGCTCGTTTCAGCTAATAGCTAAACCACGAGCAGTAGATCATGTCATTACAGAACAGCCTGAAATATTCTTCTACGTGTGTTTGTGTACTTAGTCCTATTTTTCTCCTTTTCAGTTCATGCTTTTTGATCAGATTTTGGATACTGTGTCTGAGAAAGCCACTTATCTTTCCAAGCCAAAAGTTACTAGAGAAGGGGTGAGTACCTGTATTTTGAGACACATGTCTGACAAAGAGTTGAAAGCATACCAGAAGATGGAAAAACAGAAAAACAGTACAGTAAAAAAAGATGAAAATGAAGATCTGAAGTCAAATGAGTTGCATCAGTGACTTTATGAAGACGTGTAAACAATATTGATTTTTTTATTTAAAAAAAAAACCACAAACTCTAAACTTTTAATAAAGTTATTGTTGAGCTTTGCACGGGTCATTCGATAAAGAATGTTGTCTCAGTTAATCTTTACTGCAGAGTCAGAATTTCAACAGTTGGTATTTCATTTTCGATGGGCTTATCCACTGCCTTGCTTTCTGTCAGAACAGCATCCTTTCCTGGCTGCGTTTTAGGAGGAATGTAGCCGCTCAGACGAGAGGCTAAGCTCCTCTTAGGACGAGAACGCTTTGCCTGGCAGAAATAAATCCAGAATTAGCAACTTAATAGATCTATGGAATAAACACTACTAATGTGGTGGTGAAACAAGAAATCAATGAATAGGCCATCACTGCATTATTTAAAGGAGCTTCAGAAATAAAGAATCTCCCAAATTAAGCAGATAGCTGGCCTGTTTTCCTGCTTGCAGTCACATTATAAAACATGTAATGTTTGTTTACCCTCCTCTGAAGTGACAGGGTATGGTTGAGAGGACTTTTTCAAGAGTATAACTTACTTTCAAGTTCATCTTCCTCTTTTCAGGATCATGTACAACTGCGTGCCTTGCTAGGCTCTGCTACAGTTACAAAGGGCAGAGGAAAAAACAAACAAACAAAAAAACCAAACAAAAGGACTTAGGTTTATAATTTCAGATTATGTGATTCAGATTAGAACAATGTAAAAAATACATACCTTCATTGCAAACACTCTTCCACAGCCTGGATAATCACAAGAGAATGGTTTTTTCTCCTCATGAAAAGAGAGGATATGGCTTTGAAGGTTAAATATGGTTGTGTAAGTTCTCCCACATCCTTCTCTCGGGCATTGGCAGACTTCCCTCTCCACAGCATGTGTTTTTTGATGCTGCTTGAGGTAGTCTTTCCGTTTAAAAGTTTTGTAACACTCACTGCAAACTATCGGCTCTGAGTGGGAGAGACAGGCAGAGTATAAATTAACAGCTTCTTACAGGTGCTCAGAATCAAACCCTAGCAGTCCACAAGAGATGCAAGGAACTCAGAGACTGGAAGAGAATAATACAGTATGAATTATCCAGATCTGAAATTGTACATTATACAATTTCTCATTAAATAGATCACAAAGCAAAGTTAGTATACTGGAGTAGCATTTTCATCAGTTTAAGGTCTAGCCAGAATGGCAACCATTTTACTGATAAAGTGTTAGTAAACAAGTTTGTCTAGACACAATGACAAGTTGATGAAATGAGTTCAGCAAGGACTCCCGGTCAAATTAGCGGTTTCTTTCCCATTTATATCAAAAGTTAAGTTCTATTTACTAAAGCATTTGGAGTTTACCTGTATGACTGACTTTATTATGTTTCAGAAGCTCTGTCCAAGTTTTTCCAGTATAGGAGCAGTTTTCTTTCTTGCATGCATAGCCTGTTGGACAGGACAGACGTTTACAATCACAAAGGTTCTGGCAAACACAGTCCAGTTTCACAAGGGGGAGTTCCACTTCTAGCACTTGAAAATTAAAAGGCCAGTATTCCTCCTCTCCTACCATACTGCACGGTGATGGGACAAGAGGCAACAAACACAAATTAGAACATGAGAAAATCCCAACAGGTTTAAGGAAGAAACCTTGTATCACTGACATGAATTGTCCAGAGAGGCTGTGGAATCCCTACACCTGGAAACCTTCAAAACTTGACTGGACGCAGTCCTCAGCAACCTGGTCTAACTGACCCTGTCTTGAGCAGGGAGTTGGACCAGATGACCTCCAGAGGTCCTTTCCAACCTAAATGATTTTATGAAACTGTCTCTCTCCTTGCTTCAGTAAAGCTACTTCCTCACCAGCCATGCACTTTCACTCAAATAGATGAAAATAACTGTAGTAATACATATTATTTCTATATAATTTTTTAAAAAAGAAGATCTTGACCATACAGTAATATTCCAGAGTCTAAGGGGACTACATCATTCTGTCAAGAAGACAGGCTGGTTTTTAAATGAACCACAAAAAGTCAACACCATTTAAATCCCAGGACTGGAAAGGTCAAACAACTATGAACAAGTCCCTGTCTTAAGAAAGGTATGCAGTACGAATCGCAGCTTTTTGGATACTCTTCCTAGTCTCTTGGGTGGGGTTTTTTTTTTCTAGCACTGGAAAGTGGGTTAGCTGTCAGTAGTACTGAAAGAATGGGCAGGAGTGTAGCAGGATTAGCTCAAACATACATAACCGCCTCCTAACAATTCCACTTAAATACCTTTCACATAGGTACATTAACAACTTAAAAAATGCAAGCCTACATGGTTTTGCCAAGCTTCTGTTGGGAATTTGTGGCAGAACTGGCAACTGATCCTAACCTCTGGAGGTCTAGGCTAGTGCCTTAACCATTAGCCCATCTCCAGAAGATGGACTATTGACAAGGAAGCACATTAGGAGAAGAAATGGCTGAAGGAATCCTGAGCTCTGTTCAGCCTACCACAAGTACATTGTAACTGAACACTGTAATGTCTTGCAATTGTATCCCATTTGACTACTCAAAACAGGTGTTTTGTTCGCCTGGATCACTAGGCCCAGAATGCTTTCATGTCTGTCACACATCCCTGCATACTCTCTACTGGAAGAAGTCCTTTTTCCTTTGATAAAACGTAACTGAAGCAAGAAGAAAAACTGTATTACCTTCATGTGTCTTCTCATGCCGCTTTAGTCGACTTGGAGTAGAAAAGTGCTTTCCACATCCTTCATTATTACATCTAGGTATAAAATAACACTGGTTTAATTTCTTTCACTGCATCCGCATATTTTTTGTTCTTTTAAGTCAAGAACAATTAAAGTGGACAAAATAATCCAAGTTTCCCGTCGCCTAGAGACCTGTTCTGTCGCCCTCCCCCCCCGTCTTGTAAAAGTAAATTCCATAATATGTTTCTAATAGAGGACTCTGATCCCCTCGGGAGTTAAAACTATAGTATGATTTCCACGTATACAGCAAGTTAAGCTTTAGCTAAAGAATCAAGCTTCATATCATCCCTACACAGTAGGCTCTTCAACCATAAAAGAGACAGAAAGTGGAGGGTTTAAGTGGCTTGTACAGATCTAGCAGTCAGAGCAGCAGCAGAGCACTGACAGTATTTTTGTGCCTGTCACCCAGACATACTAGCGCACTCTGCTTAAGCGGAACACTCCTATTAAGCGTGTTCCACCTTTAAGAAATACAAGACTAAACTTTGCTTTCATCAGATCTATACTGATGTGTCATGTAAACAGTGGAGTTGCAATGCACATCTTCTCAGATCGGTGTCCAAGCCTTTCACCGTTTTTAAGCTACTACTCACTTCAGTGTCAGCCAGCCAAGTCACTGCTTTTTACTGGAAAACAGAGGTAGCTGCATTTTTCATTACCATTCAAGCTTTCATGCTTGTATTTCAGACTGTGTGAAGTAAAAAAAGGGGTTTTTTTGTTTATTTTTCCTGTGAACCTGTAATAAACCCTAAGAACATGTCTGAAATGCTGAAGTTACAGAGCACCAAGATGTTGCTCAAAACAGACTACTGAGCAAAGGGCTAGTACGAGAAATGTACTTGCAGCCATAACTACAAATTCATTCCAGTTTTTTTTAAAATGCCATGTCAATGAAAAGGTTGAAAAAATGCACCTGTTTTAATCTACAGTGTTTAAATGGAATTGTTAAAAGTTCATTATTAAAATTATCCACTTACTTGAAGGGAGGTTCACTGGTGTGGTGACATTGATGAACTTTAAGTTGTTGATGTTTCCTGAAAGACTTGTTACAGCCTTCAAAGTCGCACTATTTAGGAAATTAAGTTATCATTAGAGGCCAAAATAATGACAGCCCAGCCCACATGTTTTTGCAGAAATCCCAATCCCAGTATTTGAAGTCACACAAGTACCGCATAATAACAAGTTGAAGTATTTCACCAGATACATAAAAAGGAGCTTGTTTAGCCTCCACTTTACAGCACCAAAGGTAATTACTCACCACATATTGCTTTTGCCGATTTTGATGCTTGCGCTCAACGTGCTTCTTTAAGTTTGATTTTGTTCCAAATTTCTGATTGCATCCATCAGCTGTGCACCTGCAAATGGACTGCATTTTTTAATTATCCCTCTCAAACAGCGCTTTGTTTCCTAGGCAGATACAGAAATCATTGGACAAGAGGAATACACGAAGAATAACCAAAACTCGCAACCCAAATATAAAAATTTCCTTTAAAGACACGAAAAGCCAGAAGCTAAGTTATAGTCGAAAGCCACAGGAGAACATATCAAAGATATTTCTAATAAAACACGTAGGAATTCCTAGCTCCTAATCCAAGACGTGCAGCTATTAAGGGCTTAGTAATAGGAGATAACTGCCCTTCCTTCTTTTAATTCTGTATTCTAGGGGGAGATCTGCCCACTCCTTTAAGTATCTATTATGGATCACTGCCAGATAGGAGGTTTTAGGCTAAGATTCCCCACCTCTCACCCTGCGTGCACGCTGTTAGGGCAGTGCTGATGATACCAAACCTAGCCACGCGTGCTCTGTAGCCCCCACCCCCGTTTTAGCTCCCCTTCGCTGCCCTAAGGACGAGCCTAATCCATCTGAAGAAGTAAAAAATTCGGGCCTTACTCGAACGGCTTTTCCCCGGTGTGGGTAAGGAGGTGACGAGCGCGGTGGAAATCTCTCGTGAAACCTTTACCGCAGCCCTCGTAATGGCAGACGTACGGCCTCTGGAAGAGAGAGGGGCATTTTGGGAGAGCACAGACCCACCCCTCGGGGGTTGGGGGGGGGGGCTCGGCCGTTTCCAGGAGGATTCCATCGGCGGGAT